AAGTGGGTTCAAAAGTTTGGTTAGATTCGCGGCACATATCAACGACGAGACCAAGTGCAAAGTTTTCGCACAAGTGGTTGGGACCCTTTCCAATTGCTAAAAGAATCTCAACTAACGCCTATAAACTGACATTGCCTGCTTCAATGAGTCGAGTACACCCTGTTTTTTCAGTAGGTTTATTACGACCGTACCAAGACAGTAAGATAGAAGGTCAAGTACAACCACCACCTGGACCAATCATTATTGAGGATGAGGAAGAATTTGAAGTCGAGAAGATTTTGAATAAGAGAAGAAGGGGTAAAATGACTGGATACCTAGTAAGTTGGAAGGGGTATGGCCCAGAAGAAGATTCGTGGGAACCTGCAAGTGGCTTAGACAATGCGCAAGAGTTAGTAAAATTATTCAATCAGAAATATCCAGACGCAGAGAAACATTACAAGAGGACAAGGAGAAAGGTATGAGGGCAATGCTTTTTCCCCACGTGGGTTTTTTAATGCTAGCCCGGGGATAGACGTCAGCTCAGCAAGAGGGAGTGGGACGTAAAGGGGGAAGTAGTGTTATAATCCTCATACTGGATTATGCTTATACTGAGTACAAGCCGCCCTTCTAGATTCTAGAGCTCAACACGTTGTATTGCTTTTCCTCATGCTTCAATCTAAGTTATACTATAAGATACTCTCTGATCTCTTATACTCCAAGCTCATAACAACTGAATTCAGCATCACAGATATTGTCGTGGGTCCAATTCACTGCAGAATACCTTGTGATGAGGAAGTATTGGGCAACAAAATAGTAGCACTCATTGTAGAATGAAATATGCTGGACTTGGATGGGCATGGCCTTGGATGATTGGACCACAATGGGGATTAGGTATTTAGGCTAGGTAAACAGGAATTCCCTTCTACACAATATCCAGCTGATAAGAATTGTAGGTCATAATTGTTTGATTTGCGGGAAGTGTTTTTGACAAAGGCAGCATGGGGATAAGTGTGAGTTTAGGTGGTTACAATCACGAAGATAGTAGGCAAGGTCTGGCTATTAGGGTTAGCAATGTGTTGTCTTTGAGAAATATGTCAGCCCTGAGCCCTGATTACGTGACCACGGGCTAGCAGTAACACATGTAATATTATATTATTGTATAAATCCATAAGTACATCTCAAGGCTCAGTGTCAAGAGCCACGTAAACACATGTACATAATGTATTAAATACGTAACAAACCTAACCCAAGCGCCAACCACAAGTGAGACAAGAATCACACGCCAACCACAAGTTGACGCTTGACCTGTGAATATATAAACCCCCCTTCTTCCCTTGATTCATCCCCCATCTTTTAACACATCACAACATCAGAATCACATTATACTTGAAATCCTATATAGAGGATCCTTGAGTACGTGATTAGTTGTGTAGTCTAAAGACCAAACTTGAGCATCGCAGGTTCTATTGCTGAGCACACCGGTATTGATTTCTATGAGCCTTGGGCCATCATATTCTCTAGAAATAAAACGTAAAGCAGCAAAGCTTCCTCCATTATATGGAGTCTAAAGTAGCCTTCAGGATCTTTGGTTCACCAAAGTGTAAAGCCTGCCCCTCACAGTCTCACAAGGTTAGAGTGTACTAGCTCTTTACCACCCTTAATCCCTTTCTCTCTCCCTCATATCCTCTTCTTAGAGGTCAACTAGCTGTAGTCTTCACTTGGGTGTACCACATGAAGACCACACTTTACCTTCCTTATCACCTTCTTAGTGAAGAGTACGCCTAACAGACGTGCACTCCTCACAAAATAACACTGTGGATGTGATGAGCTTACAGAGCAATTTGCAATGGTTTTTTGGACATGACTCCATCACAAGAGGCGGAGAAAGTCACTAAGTATCTGCGCTGGTGCTATGCTGTAGTAGCCCTGTTGCAGCCAACAGTATACAAGTGCGTCACCAATGGGAATCATGCAGATCACTTGATCTGCTTATATCAAGAGGAACACATATGTTAGCTGCAACACACCAGTCAACTAAACACCAAGACAAGAAGTCTATTCACTTACAGCTGTGTTTCAAAGACATCAACTTAAATTGACCACTAGATAAGCTATTCAACTGCCTACTCAAATCCACCATTGATGGGTTGTTCATTTGCCATAGTCTGGCAAAGTAAAGAGCAAACACTGAGCAAGGTGAGCTTTTGAATAATGGAATTGGGAATTTCATAAGGAGTAATTGACAATGGAATGTTTTCAAATGAAATAGGACAGTACTTATAGAACAAGTCAGGCAACACAATTCAATGTGTTAAGTAAAAGCAAACAGAAATCAGAGTTTCAAGAAGTGTTCAGAGTGTGTGTATTTTAATGTCTTGAGTGTATGTACAACATGCGCCAACCAATTGGATTATCTGCTTCAGAAGCATGAGCACAGGTGACAAAAGAGCAATACAGTTGAAGTATTGATGGCAGAATTAAGTGGTCCCCAAACAAAGATGGGACAGAATCATAGGCTACAAGACGCAGATCTGGGAGGGAATTGTGTACATAACACTACAAGAAACATAACATTTTCTGGGCAGAAACTTAAATTATTTGTATACAAAAATCTGGAAAGGTCAGAAACAGAGCAAAAAATATGAAAAAATATGCATCCTGTTCCTTGGTTTGAGATCTCCAATCTGCATATTTTTCCGTATTTTTGGGGTTCATATTGGTGAGTGACTAACAATAAACCCTCATAATCATCAGATTACCACCTGTAACAGATGCTGAACTTTGGCTGATCAGTGCTGAGAGAAAATTTTGATTACTACAAAACCCCATACCTTTGTCAATTCTGGCTCAGAACACTTGATTGTAGGTGCATTAGAAAGCTGAATTCCTGAACTACAACTTTTATTGTGACACCAAATGTGTAATCCCAATGATCCTGACATTCTATTTGATGATATGTGAAATTCAATTTCATTGGGGATATCTTTCTTTGCAGGCCCGCCACATATTTGCTTCATTTATGAACTATCTTCAGGCAAATACCAGCTTTCCAATGCACTCAAAATCAAGTGTTTTGAGCCATAATGCATCTGTTACAGGTGGTAATCTGATGATTATGAGGGTTTATTGTTAGTACACTCACCAATATGAACTCCAAAAATACAGAAAAATATGCAGATTGGAGATCTCAAACCAAGGAACAGGATGCATATTTTTTTCATATTTTTTGCTCTGTTTCTGACCTTTCCAGATTTTTGTATACAAATAATTTAATTTTCTGCCCAGAAAATGTTATGTTTCTTGTAGTTTAAGGAGGGTAGAGTGTCAAGCTGCAAGCGCGAGTAGCACCCCACGCCATGTGGGTGTTGCTGGAGGGTGCGCTGGAGGAAGCAATCTGATGTGCCAGTGATGGAACAAACACATCACTGTGTAAAATATGTCAATGCAGCAGTTTGGTAAGGACACATGATATGGAGTGAGTGCAGCATGGTTGAGTTGAGCAATACAAATTGGGACACATTGCTGAGTCTGCAAGTGCTGAGGTTACAACACCAAAAGGGTGGCAGGCCGCCCCCAATGCTCTAGTTACTTCAGCATAAACTCATTCCCAATCTGAGATTGAAGGCAAAGCGTAAGGGTGTTTGAAGTGTTGGGGTTGTTTACCAATCACAACCTTACTCTTACTGTTCACAGTCACAACATAGTATCCTACCCACATGTCCCCCAATGTAAGGAAGGAAGTGGGGGATTTGTATGTGTATGGTGGGTGGTGTCTAAAATCATGAAATGTTGGACCAAGCACAAAAATAAAAATAAGATCACATCCACATGAATTTAATCCAATCAAGCTTCTTTGGTGTTACATCAAACCATGTAAGTCTTACTTTTCTCTTTGCCTATCTTCTTCTTTTGTCCTTGGCTGATAGGTCTAAGACATTCAATGCTTTTGCTCCAGACTATCAAGCACACAGCTATGAGTTTTCCAAGCTGAACAAGCAAAGGATTTGTTTGAACAGATTAGGTAAATGTGACCTCTTGTAACAAACCAATAAGATCATGTTCAGTCTCTTGTAAGTCAAACTTTCTCTCAATATCAATGATGAACTTTACTTATTTTTTTAAAAAGAAATTTGATGAATTTTAGAGAGGCTATGAAGGCCAATCCTGGTACCAACCACTATATTAAGAAATACACCTCTCATCAAACCATTGCTCACAACTCTGCAACCATCATAACCTTGCCATATCAATTTTTTCCTTTTTTCCATATATTTATCAAAAATTGACTTTTCTCATTGGTTGTTGTTCACTGATTGCTGAGGTTATAAAGTGGTAGTACATATCCACCAATCCATTGCTTGCCACTCCACGACCAATCCTAACCTCAATTTCATTTTTTTTTTGCTTTTTTCTTACATCTTCATCAATTTTTGATTTTTCTCCTTAGTTTTTCTTCTCACTAATCAACAAGGTCACAAAGGACCAGAATTTGTATTGCTCTTAACAGTTTGTTCAAAATTACATTGTATGAAATGAATCAGCTATAGTGTAAAAGTAGCAAACATGTCCAAAAACAATATGTTCAAAACATATTTGGATTGCTTTCAATCTCAAGATTTGAATGCCACTCTCGGATTTGGAATCCGACCAATTTTGTGGCTTTGATGAGCTTCTTGCTCAAAATACCCAATTTCACAGGTCTAGGCAGTACCCACTATGCCGGGTATTGCTTGGTTTTGAGTTGAGACAATTTCCAGAACCTCATTATACGGAAGCTTTCCTAGGTTTTGATCCGAGTTAATTTTCAGTGCAGAATAATGCCTCAGATAAACCCTTGGAGAAAGTCTGTCCAAAGATTTGCCAGCTGTATATACAAAACCATGGCCGGGTGCTATGGGTGACGAGCTCCGGGACCGGTCCGGGTCCCGTTGTTAGGCAGACGACAGCTTTTCCCAATTTGGTGAAAACCCAAGCAAAGAAGACCAGCACCAGCATTTGTTGCTAAACGCAATCCAAAGGAAATATGTTTCAACCCTTGACCACACGTTCGATATGGACAAGAACTTCACTATCAATACGAAAATTCAAGTTAGAATCAAATCTCAACTCTTTGTATCATGGTCCATCAATTTTGAATTCACCTCAACTTAACTTCACTCAACTCTCCTCAGCACGATCCGGGTTTTCCTCTTTATCTAGATCATGGAGGAACGAAAGAACAATACGTTCATTCTCCAATTTCTCTCGACTAAGATCAGGACAGCCTCAGAGGACCATCATTGACCAGTATCGAGACCGACACCGAACAAACTACAAAGCTAGGAATCGGAGTCTGATGCTATATACCTTATCATTAGGAATTCTTACTCTAGGACTCTCATACGCTGCTGTACCGCTCTATAGGGTCTTTTGCTCAGTCACAGGATATAATGGAACGCCACTTACCAAGCAGGAAGGAAATGGAAAATTCTCAGCAGATCGAATCTCTAGACCGATTGGGGAGAAATCGATTACTGTCCGATTCAATGCTGATAAGAGTGACACACTGAATTGGAAGTTTTGGCCTTGTCAAAAGTCTGTCAAAGTTAAGCCAGGGGAAACGGTGTTAGCATTCTACAAAGCTAAGAACTTATCGGATAAGGATATCTTGGGCGTTGCCACTTACAATGTCACACCTGGACAGGTAAGCTACTCGATTATTCGCGGGGAGAGATTTAATTGACTAGAGAGCTCATCTATGTTTTGTCTCGTACCAATCTCTTAGGTTGCACCTTATTTCGCTAAAGTTGAATGCTTTTGTTTTGATGAACAAAGGCTAATGGCAGGAGAAGAGGTCGATTTACCGATCTTTTTCTTCATCGATAAGGATTTTATGGAAGACCCTTTGATGAATGATATAGATGATATTATTCTGAGCTATACATTTTTGTCAGTTACCTTCATCTTTCTCAACTCTTCTCGCCACTGCCTGTCAAGCACATTAACTTGAATCGATGCTACGATATGTTTTACAGTAAAGCACGTCGGAATTCAATGGGTCAACTAGAGCCGGATAGCCCTGCCTCGGCGAGTTCATCAACGTGACACTGCTCAACTTTGATCTCATGAAGCAATTTTTACCTCTGACCTCACCTTGGAATCTGATTTTGACTGTATTGATGAAATGCAGAAACACTTTGTTTTAAGTAAATCTAACCCGAACTCACTGCGGTGCTGTGCGATAGCAGCCTCTCAAGCTCTCAATTATTGTATAACCTTATCACCGACGATAAGAAACCATATCGCTGATGATAAGTAACCTTATCACGTATGAAAACAAGCTCGATGCCAGACATGTTCCTGCATGAACTATGCTCTTATCAGCATGACAATTATTACAAGTCTTGATCGCTTGGCGGATATCCAATCAATGTATCACTCGTGGAAAGATGAATCGCTCCTGCCGCAGATCCCGAAAAGTAAGTTTACATCAAAGTTTGATATAGCATCCGGACGCACCGGACTGTTTCGATGCGAGCCGTTGCACTGTATCGACTCTTGTTCGAATCGACGCCAAGGAATCAAACATTCCTGGCCAAGTTTAAGAAGTATTGAAACCCGGCTTCAATTACCAATCGAAGCAGATAACTCGATGAATGACATTTGTCCAGAAGCCGCAGAGCTCTTGATGCAAGACTAGAGAGTGGGCCCATATCTACCACATTGACTACTCATAGCCGGTCATACAAGGGGAGATACTGAGCAACCTGCATACTATGGAGCTCAGCTAAATCCACTGACCAAAGAGCTCCCCTCACAGTGGGTTGAAAACACAAGGTTCTTGCCATAAACAAGCAAAGGGAAAGCTGTGCACTACCAACAGCGTTGAAGTAGCCATGACTCATCAACCTAAACCAGTCCCTGTCCCTTGCGAAAACTCGGGGTTCTCGCGAGGGAGAGGGACTGGGTCATGAGTTTGATGACTGATCAATCACGTCTCCTGCCTGCTTGCTCGAGTTTCATGACACACTGTTTTTCTGATTGTAAATGTCTCAACGCTAAAAATGAATTTACTGCATGTCACAAGATTTCGATGCATCGGAAGAGAATCAACTTTTTCGGTTGGTCCGAAATAACAATGCAACAAAGAAAGAAAATGTAATGAAACATTGGAATCAGATGAGATCGATGACCACAAAAAGTCTTATTTTTCAAGTAAGGCAATCGGGAGATGCAGTCAGTCTTTCGAGGGAATCGACAGTGGTTCATGAAAGGCTTATCACCAAGTTGTGAAGCTAAATCACACAGATAATTGGCAGACACCAATAGAAAACTGATATCTGGCTTAAAACTCGATGATACATACATACTGTTGACAAGCAGTGTTAATACGGGGCCTTACGCTGCCTTACGTGACCATCCGATCTGAAGGAGGTTGCTGGAGCGGTGAAGGTCAACAATTGTTTGATAACCGTACCACGTAAGTCTCCAAAACATAATGTTCGAGATCAGCAACTGATACGTTACTTTCTGCCGCTCTCTTGATCACTGCCACGCACCGCTCGGCCCGTTCACATAACTCCTCTTTATTAGATTCGAAATCTTCTTCATCATATCTCGAAAGCTAGAAAATTTCAACATGATAGCTGGATCACGTCGCACCTTGTAACACGCTACGTAAATTTATTCCAGGAAGAAAACGCTTTTCTCAAACCATGAGGCCTGCGTAGCTCTGCCTGACCGGTCGATGTCTTGATTTCCCCTTTTCCTGCTTAGTTAGATAAGTCGTTTAAATAACTTTCCAAAAAAAGTAAACGCTTCGGAAGGAATTAGAATGAAACGAATTCACTTATGTACTTTACAGCAGAAAGCCAAAGGCCTCAAGAGGAGGACCACCCGGACACAAAAAGTCAAAAATGAAAATTGACATCCTTGCAAACTCGTTTTAGATTAAGCTATCGGAACAAGTAGGAAAAATTGCGTTAACAAGTCATAAAAATAGGATATACACAGCATTTTGTAAGAGCTGCGACTTTTTTTCTATGAAGCGTATTTACGTAAAAGTCCTGTCGGAATCATCCGACCAAGCGACTCAAACTTTTATCCTCGGGAAGCAGCAGCTTTGTGCGCAGGTTCCTAGGCGCCACTGACCCAGGTGCTTCATGGCGGGATATTGTAGCATCAAGAAGTTTCAAAATATTCTAAGCTGTGCGGATGTGTATAAAAAGGAGCCCTTTTCACCCGACCCCATCACCGATTAAGCCCAACACGTCACTCACTTATTGGATTTGATATTTCATAAATGCGATTAACTGCGATCCTCTCGATTATTCTCTTTGGGAGCACCAGGCACATCTGGTGCGGACCGTATGACGACGTGGACGGCTACAAGGCTATGATACTTGCGTACCGGGACAACAGGGTGTTATTATCATATCCAGACAATGCCCTACCCAAGAACAAAGGTGGTAATGGCAAAATGCTTTGTTTCCCACGCGGGAAGCCCAAAGAGATGGACGAGGGTGACACGCGCCAGACTGCTCAGCGTGAATTGAAAGAAGAAAGTGAGTCGAGATCATTGATTCCACCTTTTGACGTTGAGCGTTTTGCTGATTGCACGATTCATCTATTTTGGCAATCAGCGGGTTATGAATTAGAGTTAGATGAGTTCGAATATATAATGGAGGTGGATGATCGCACTAAATTGTTTGTGGCAAAAATTCCATCTAATGCAAAGGCAGTGCAGGGTGCAGATACTCATAACCGCAATAATGTGTGGGTAGACCCGTTGGAAGTGGCTGGATGTATTAAAAATAGACAAGATTCAATGGCGGCCTGGCATTCTGAATGTTATAGATTTCAGGGTGTTGAAGACTTCTAGACTAGATCAAGGCTGGAAACTTCACTGCACAGACTCTCTGCCAGTCTTACAGCCCTTTGCATAATTGATGACTTTGGAGAAAAAAAACCTTGAGTTTTCAAAAAGTGACCTAGTTTTGTCAAAAACTGGGCAAGAAGTTGGTTCAATTGATTGATATAACAATCACAAACAAACTTGATTTTTGAGCTCAAGCATTATTTGTAGCTCATTTTGATGACGATCCTCATGTTGTACGGCTATCCCCTTCTCAAATATCCACTTTTTGATGAATTCATTGGATTTATTTGATTAAAGATGTCGGCTCTCTTGCTCAGTTTTTGAAAAAAACTTGAGGAGTTTTTGAGAAAAATTCACAAGTTTTTTTTTTGAAAACTCAAGCGTTTTCTCTTCTTCCAAAGTCATTAATTCTGCAAAGGGCTTGTGTGTCTAGCAACACAATACACAAGTCATCCCTGATATACAACTTGAGATGATGTACAGTAGATTCCATAAAGAATGAAATCGATAATAGAGACCAGGCGTGATTTTTGTATTTTTGTTGTCACGAAAATACGATATGTAGCTTGTTTTTCACGGTATTTCACACTCGATATCTCATATTTGCCTTAGATGCACTTTGAAATGCATTGCACAGTCCGATAGACAAGTTTTGAGGTTGCTTATTGACAAGCCTCACACATTTTGAGGGAGGCACGTCTTCATGAGGTCATCTGAAAATGACAGCAAACACAGCTGTTTGCTTTACTCCGGATGCTTGGCATGCGGCAGTAAAAAATTAAAAACCTGCCTTCTTGGACGTCCAAATTTGCTTGTTATGCAAGCGGACCACAGATGATCTTTTAGCTTTTTAACCCGTGGACAGCAGTTTTTGTTGCACATCTCTTGTGTGCAGAGGGTTTGTACAAGCTTTCCGTCGTGATATCACGGCGGAATGGTATGGGTTTTGAGCCAACCTTGCAAACGGGGGGGGAGATTTCTGTGAAAGGTCTTGGAACAGACCTTTCCGGTATATAAAGCAGATGAGTATGATTGCTTGTCAATATTTTGCCCCATAGTCATTGTGGTGCGTTTAGCTTCTTTCTGGTTCTGCTCTGTTCGCCTCTGTGGATTACAGCTGACATCGTGGTCCGTTAGCTTTATAAAAATCGTTTGAATCCTACAAAATTGTTCCAGTGCGTATTTGATCAGTGTATTCGGCCTCATGATTGGCATTAACATGGCTGACTGTCAGTTTCTGGGCCTGGAAAATCCAAATTTATATTCTAAATATGTCCAAACCTAACTGGTCCCCAATTGCCGGCCTGAACCTTTCAAAAAGCTTGCGTAGTCAGGTGCGGGATTTCCTGGTAGTTGCGTGGTGTATCCTACTGGTCGGATCTAAGAGTCATATTTTGCAGGCTTCTGATTCCAAGACGGGCTCTAATCAAACATCTCCTCCAACAAACGCTGTAGGGCACGGTAAATGCTCCACCGGCGGTCAGCTCAAACCCATATATGGGAGCTGTGTGGTTTCCTAATGTGTAAGTTCTGCAATCACTCATGTACATGGCCTCTCTTCGATTATCCCTGATTGTGTCATCGGTGTTTTGCCTCGCTTGCAGGGAGCAGTCTGCTGAGGGGTGTGTGACATATTCTCACAATCTCTCCCATCCTCCGTGGAAGAGCAAGGATGATTACAACAGCATGGTAGATTGGAGAGTTCCAAGAGTCATATCGGACGACCGAATCACAGTGGCCTTCAACGGTGCTTGCAATGAAGCCCGCTCACTCAACAACCTCAATCATCAAACCAATCCTCTTCCCTGGTGTCGGAACGGTGTCAATCCACACCATGAGGCATACGCCTCAGCAAAGTACAATGTACATGTCCTCCAAGAAGCAAAGGATGCCACATCGTCAGGCAAGGATGAAGGCCTCTGTCATCTCTTGGCAGATTCCAATGAGGATCCAGTGGACCCGGGCATTTCTGGTGAGTCTAACCAGCTATTGGTGTAGTTTGGAATATCAGCATCGCTCATTGGGTGATATTCCAAAGTTGCGTGTATTCTTGTGGCTCGCAGGGAGACCCAATTTCCGACATCTTCCTCACCCTCCACCAGTCAATTAATCCCGACTCATCCTACTCCCACGGAAAGCGAAGCTCATGTGAATCCCCTCATTCGCAAAACCTCACCAGTCAAGCACAACAGCGATTCCGTTGTCAAACCTCCAACCAGACCCCGATTCCACCCCATTCATGATGGGGGTTTTCCGGAATTGGAGCAACTGGAATATTTTGATGATGGGGAAGAGATCCTCATCAGGCCCGATCGTATTCCTTCCTCCTCTGTGAAAGTGCCCAGCTCAGGTCATAAAGCGAAAGATGAAACATCCCAATCACCTCGTGCACGCAAGTCTGGTGGTAAACGCTCAGTGGGGGCTGCCGCACCTACTACCTCGATTGGTGCCCTGGTTGGGGCTTCGCCAAATGCCCCAACCACATCAACTGCTGTGATCGTCTATCCTGCGCCTTTCCGGCATCCGTTTTCTCGTCTGACTTCTCCCAGCTCACCTGGGTCCTGGTTGGCCAAGGTGACTCAACCAAGTCAGTCACCTCCCCTCGTATCAGTTCAACCTAAAGCTGACTCCATCCATGTTCACAAACATTTTCTCACAGCGCCGGGTCAACAGTCGCCAGTCAACCCCAATGACGGTGAGCTCCGGCCCTCGCCTCAAACCGTTGAGGCCGGCCCAATCTCGATTGCCAAGCCGCGCAAAAAGGACAACAGCCCTGAGACTGCGTCCGGACGGTTCCATTGGGGTGAACCGGGACGCCTAGACGTGCTCTGGCTATTGATCCTAGCCTCTTTCGAACCTTTCGCAGTGGCCAAGGAAATGGTGGAGCGTTTCCGTCAATGTACCATACTTCTGACAGTGAGTCTTTTTGGGGTTCTTACGGTTCAGATGGCATATTGCATTCTGATATACATGCATCGGATTCCATGCAGACGCACCCACATACCATGGAACATTTTGCCTGTATTTCCACAGCCAAAAATACGTATACATTGAAGTACAGGTACGAGAGCCTGAAAACTTGGCTCCGCAAGGTCGAAGCCAAGTCTCTGGTGGCTAGTGGCACTCAGGAGGTTGATGGCGAGTTGCAAAAGTGGATCAAGCGCTTGGAGGTTAAGGAGGAGGTGAGTGGAAGAATCTCTATGTTTGACATATCACACACCGAATTTTTGGGTCATATTACTGTATGTAGGAGCTGAAGGTCACAACGGCCAAAGCGAAGGCTGCCAAAGCGGCCGCCGCGACCGCTTTGGCTAAAGCAAATGACCTACGGGACGCCCGTGCATTCCGACCTCAGTCAGCGCCTCCTCGTATGCCAATGCAATTGGAGGAAGATGGCAAGGAAGGATCTGAAGCCAACAAGGTTGGCAAACGACCTCCAACTACCTCACGTGCCTTACGTGACGGAGTGATGAAGACACTTGCCGGTGATGAAACTCATTCACATATGGTGAATGTCACCATGAAGAACAGTGAGGCGGCTGAAAGGGCCAATGAGCTCACTTCCCTCGCTCTTGAGCGTCACCAGGAGCAAACGACAGTGATGAATCTCCAGCGCGAGCGAGAGCTGGCTCAATCACAGGCTCGGTTGGAACTGGATTCTCAGACCGCCCGTGATACAATTGCATTGCAACGAGAAGAGCTTCAGGCCAATGCGTCTCGTGAGGAGAAGAAAGATGAGACCATCAATGAACTGAAGTCTTCCATGGACTCGGTCCAAGGCAGTATTGCAGAGATGGGTTCAGTCCTCAAGATGTTTGCCGAACGTCTTCCTCCTGCCCAAAGGTCATCATGAGTAGTCAGTTCCAGCTTCTCCTCATCCGTCTTGCTTTTCGAATGATACTGATCCATTCTTGTTGTTGGAAACCGACGGTTACTGTCGTTTAGGTCCCAAATCCGTTACCCCTGTTATCAACTGAGAGAAAGTCATAGATCATTATTATTTTAGTTGTATCTCTTTCTCATCAGATCACATGTAACCCACTTTGCAATTGTTTCGCACCTCCCCACGCGAATCAAACCTGACTCGCCTGTCTTTGAATCAAATGAGAGCCGGATTGTTTCTCTTTGAGTTTTGCGTATCACCACGCCAAGCATCAGAGTTATGAGTGGAGTATTCGGGTCTGCTTTTTGAAGGGCACTGCGAAGACCGGAGCCATAAGAGCCATAAGTTGAACAATTCATCATGACATGTGACCAATTGTTCCACCCGCGACTTCAAGTGTCAATGAAGCCTGGGGTCCGGTCTTTGTGCCAAAAAGAAGCAAGAAATTGAGAGCTGATCCACTCGAGCCATGGACCTGCTCGAGTTTTTGATGGATCAGGCAATTCTTGCTATCATGCCTTGTGAGGAACCGGATGGACACTTACATCCATTACCCTTGATCTATCAGACCCCTCAAACCTGGTGGCACCTCATCAAACAGGGGGTTTACACTCAAGCGATTACAACAACCTCATGTTGTTCACACAGAGCTAATTTATCCATCAAAGATCAATGTGTACATGACATTGTTTTGGGATCTCCAAGGTCCATTGCATTCATCCTTACAAAACAATAAAAATTATCTATACATATAGTATTCTATTTGTATAGATAGACATCATCCTCATTTGAAACCGGCCTATAGGCCCCCTAGTTCAGATCATCGAGGTCATCATTGGCTCGATTTCTAGGTAGCCAATCACCAGGCATCCTGCGACTCCCCAAATAAGCCTCCAAGGTGGGAGGAGCTGCCACCCCACCTAGCGGGCCTCGACCGCAACAAACCAAGAAATTTTTCAAGATAACTGCACAATGGTAGAATGAGTTTAGTTCATTGACATAGAACCGTAAATTGTCTGTTGAATGCGCCAAAAACATGGATATTAGAATCCACATACTCATACAAATACATATATCGTTTGAATATATGAGTCATAGAAAGAAAATGACTCACCCTTGTACTGAGTCATTCGGAATATATTTCTCAACCGGCCAAACTCATGTTCAACAGCAACCCGGAGACTTGACATGATCCGATTGAACACTGATTGTTCTGGGCCAAGGTTGAGACCTGGGTATGGAGTCAGTAAGACAGCCAAGTTTTGATACCCTTGATCACCGTATAACATCATTTGACAACCATGAAACCCTTTCGCATCTTTTTCCAATGCCTCACTTAGGCTCGACATCCTCAAGATTGCTATGTCGTGGCGAGAGCCAATGTAGGCCTCTGTGAGATCGGCAGTAATACCACTAGCAATAATGGGATGGAGGACGTGAGCTCAGCCGATGAACATTGAAAGGAAGGGAAAGGTTGACTCACTCGGGGGTAACCACGGCCTGGTATTTCAGGCTGTGGACTCGCTTGTGGCCATTGTAAAAAGCCCGCTGGTTATACTTAGGTTGTGCCATGTGCCACACGGTTCCTGAAAGCCCCGTGTCAGAATCGGACCAAGAAAACACAATGAGCTAGCAGGCCAACTGACCGTCTAAAACCCCCACACAATTGTCCATGGGGCAATTCCTCTCTTCCACCAAACTGGCTGCAAAGCCTTCAAGTACGTCGGGAGGTAATCGACGGGGATCCCATTGCAAAAGAGAACCCCAGTTCTCATATATCCACGCTTGGACCCAGCAACAGATCCTACCAATGATTGACAGTTCTCGGCCAAAGATTTGTGACAGATAAAAGTAGCGAGAAGGCGTCGCCAACCAAGCCATGTAGATTGCTAGAGCTGTACGACCATCTTCTCGAGCACAATTCGGCAGGATCACTGTTTGGGGAAAACCACCCCAGTGGTGGATCGCCAAAATCTCGTCCGGATGGAATCGGGTGGTGAGTTGGCTGATTCGAGGATGCCACGTCTCGACATTCACCCGTCGTGCCGACAAGTCGGGGAGTGGATCTCCTCCCAGTTGTTTGATGTAATTCAGGTATTGTAGGACCTTGCGAAGTTCTTCAAACTTGTAGATATGCCACCAGACGAGCATTAGCATTGAATTACGCAAAGCAGGAGAACCGCGGGTAGGAAGCCCATTTGGTTGGAACAGTAACGAATTGGCCTGCATGGCGTCAGGAAACTGAGCTTGGGAGCGGAGGTGTAACAGTCGTATGCTGAGGTTGAAGGCGAAAAGGGATAAGACGGAAGTTGAAGGCGAGTCCAATACATGAATGATCATATGTTCTTGGTCCACAGGCGTACTAAATGTCACTGAAAGGGACATCCCAAAGGTCATGGGTTTAGATGGAACAGTGCAGGACACTCTGTAGTCAATCACTCAAACTCTGCATGAACTTGGACGCTGATTTCGAAGTCTAAAACAACTCTACAATTGGAAAACGACTGAAAAAGAGGTTGATTCTGCGCCTGGACCTTAATTTTTCAAAATCAACTGGTGGTCCGTGCGCCCGGCAGTAAAGTTAAGATCGACTGTGCAATCTGTCGAACTTACACGCCACATCAAATATAAATACATACATATCCCCAATGTATGATGGAATCTATACCAGGAATAAGGACATCAGCAAAAACTGTTGTGGTTTAGCAGCATGATCTGGCCTTGGCATTTGTTGGGATTCCGTCCGCTGAAAGGCTACCTTTGTGTGTTTGATTCCCTCTCTTTTTGGCATTTATTTCTTAACTTTACAAGTCTTTTTTTGCTTTTTGCCATAAAACAAAAACTATCACAATAAGATAGACACACTGGTCTTCTTTGTCTGCATCAGGTCTATTGGTCAATATTGATCTTCACAAAGAAAACCGAGGAAACAAAAGGCAGGAACAAGTCGAACACTGACTTCTTTTGAACCATGCTCTTCAGCCAGAGGCTTCAAACCAATTGGACACCGGGACTTGGAGAACAATCAAAAATTATAAGACTATAGATTGTTTTTTTGGAGTAAGCATCTGTGATGTGGCGTGTAAGTTTGACAGATTGCACAGTCGATCTTAACTTTACTGCCGGGCGCAAGGACCATCACTTGATTTTGAAAAATTCTTGATTTCATCCTTTATGGGATCTACTGTACAAAAAACCTCTAGTTTAGTTTTGTAAGACAAGAGAGTTGTGATAAATTAACAACCGCTTGGAAGATGGTCATTTGTATTGAGGAAGTACAGATTTACCAAGGAGAGCTATGTGATATGTTGATAATGCCCAACATGATATTGTACTGATGTAGCTACTCATTACTCAGTTTTTGGTTCCCAAATGGTAGAGCTTAGCAAGTCTTAGGGCACGTTTGGTACGACTTACAAAATTTTGTACCTTTTATAAGGTACGAACTTTCCGACCCCGGAAAGTCGATTTTGGTTTTAAGTTGACTTCTTGATAAAAGTTAACTTAAAAGTACATAAAAGCCGAATTTCGTTTGGCAGCCAAAATCTGGTTGACCGTTCCATATCTTTTCACTTTTTCTTACTTTCCCTTTTCTTCGTTTCATCTCTAGTTCCAGAACTACCCATTGTTTTACTTTTTTACAAGCGATTTTCTTGTCTAGAGATTTGATCGATTCCTCAAGAATCGATCGAATGTGGATTGATATATTGTATAAGTTGAAAAACCTTTCACAAAAAATCATAAACGTTGTTTGTCTTGCAAATCCAATTATGTTGAACTACTTTTCTTACAAGATGTTTTTTAATGACATTGGATTATATGGTTTCCGTATCGTGACTTTTGGATGTGGTGTTTGAAGATGAGAGTGAATCGAGACTTCTTTTTACGACGACGTTGATCTGAGTTGAAGTGCGGACAGGGGGGTATGGAAGATTGGACTTGTAAATTTTTTAAAAAAAAGAAAAGTGATCGAGATTTTGGGGGTCAATAAGTAGCTTATTGGAAAATAAAGAGCTCTTGAGCTCTTTATTTTAAGTCGCCAAATATGCTACTTATGGGTCCCATAAGTAACTTTGGAAAGTTCGAGAATCTCCGTGCCAAACGGGCTTTTCGAAACTCGACTTATGAAAGTCAAATTTTGACATAAGTAGCTTAAATTAAGTTGTACCAAATGAGCCCTTATACTTGCAATTTTCAAATCCAACCTTCCAACTAAGCCCATAACAACTCAATGTGGTGGAGTTGTCCAAAAAAATTGCCCTATCCCCCTTCATCAGTTGAAGGGCTCCTTCACACCTTCTAAATTATACTCCAAGTGGCTTAGATCTCATTGTCAGAATCTGGTGTGTCTAGAACTTTGTGCTTAAGAAATAAGATCATCAGATTGACTGCAGATCTTATCAAGGTGCAGGGGCTTCTGCCAGGTTAAGAATGCAAAGAGATCCACTGTCACCTGCTTTAAGTTTTATCCTAAATGGCATATCATATATATCATAACAAGAATCCCTCTAGGCTGAGCATGAGGAATCTTTGACACTGCCCCTTGGCTACAAGAATTTTGCCTTCACTGAGAAAAAGGCCTCTTCTTGAAGTGTGGAGGAACATAGCTAGGTAATAAGTGCAAGACATTAAAAGTTGTTTTCTGGATTCACTCTCAAAATCTAACGTGGCTAGAGATTTGGAGTGGCTCAAGAAAACTGTAAAAAGCTTGACTTCTAGCTAGCTCCATATTGTCATCCCTGAGTATATATGTATCTACCCAAAGACTAACTTGTAATATATAACCAATATATCAAAGGCTGTGTACAATCCACAAAGGCAAAGAAAAAAATTCAACATTGATATTAGAAGCCGTTGCTTCATACAACCTCTGGATCTGGCACGCCTACTTTGGACTTCCAGGAACTCTCAATGACATCAGTGTCCTATCTCAAACACCACTCTATGCACTGTATTTTGAAGGTGAAGCACCTGACTCAAGCTTTACAGTATGTAAATGGACATTGGTATGAACATGCTTATTTCTTGGCAGATAGCATTTATCTGAAATGGTCAACTTTAATAAAATCTATCTCCAATCCTCAAGAAGATGCCAATAAGGTCAATTGAATATACATTGCACAACCACAGTCCAATCTCAACTGACATCTTCAAACTTCAACTTAACAAAGTTGTTTGCTCAGATACAAGAAGCATTTCAAAAGTATGTGGAGCAAGCTTTTGGTTTTCTACAAGGGTGTTGGCACATTATTCAAGGGCCTATACAAGGATGGTGCAAGTCTGACTTGTTTGATATCATGATAGTGTGCATTATACTGCACAACATGATAATTGAAGATGAGTGGGATGAGAATCAGTGGGAAATCTGGAATCTTTTCCATGAGGACTACAAAGCTTGACCTCAGGGAACACCAGTATTTGCAAACTCTCACAATGAATATCTTCATGGGAACGTTCATTGCCGCCAGACCAAATCAACCAAATTGATTTTGATTTTGTATCCACATCCAACTTCAAAAATGTTGTCATCCAATCTACTTCAACTATTGGTGAATCTTACCTCTCAAGATACCCAATCAAACAATGAAGGATTTGAAGATGATCAAGCTGAAGAAGAAGACAATGGAAAAGAAGAAATCTCATTACACTACACCAAATGACATCTTTACCCAGGGGTATAGAAAAGTAGTGCAGGCATAGAAAACTATGGGTGAAGTACTTTTCTATACCCATAGAGATCGTGTCCTCTCTGCCTAGACATACCATTCTGCTCTATACCCACAGATGAAAATATCCACATGACCACAGGGACTGAATATAAATTTAGACTCAAAGCCCTTCTTGAGCCTTGTCCAATGGGAAAGCATGGTCCATCAGTCATATTGTACACCCACTTTGGCAACCGGTGTGTGACCTATGCAACCGACTGTGCACCACCAAAAAAGCGCAGTGATTTTCGGTCGCATATGTCACCCAAAAATCTCGTTTGGTAAACAAACATGCAACAAAAGAGATACACGGATCTCTGCACATATGTGCAAAGATTGTGCGCATTCTTGAAAACAACTAAAAGTCAAATATTTTCAAATTAATGCGACTGCGACTTTTCATTGTTCTCTCTTCTCAAGCCATCACCACCAGTTATTTCGGACCTCACCATTTTTTTTCTTTGTTTTCTACAAGCCCTGTTGTCTTCAATTGCAAACCATTCAAATCATCACCACCTCAACCTTTTTCTATACTTAAACTTTTCAATCTCATTGTGGTGTTGATTCAGACTCAAATCTGACTTCCTCAAAAGACATCATTTCCACCAATTCAACTTTGCTGCCAACAGTGAAGAGCTTGGTCATTGACCATGTTATCATCAATCAAATTGCTTAAAAAATAATTGCAGAAGTTGAACAGGTAGATGATATTGAGAGCAATGAGAGCGATTAAGTTTTTTTTTTGGTTTTTGAACTCAATCAACAAATGACCTTGTTGTTCCAAATGGTAAAAGACACCATTGTGATTCATTATCACCATGGTGATTTTGCTTTTTATTTGGTTACCAAACCTTTCTAACAAGCACACTGTTGTGTGGTGTTACATATACATACACGGTGAGAAATTTTCTCACCGTGATGTAAAAGTTGCATTAAATTATTAATGCAACTTTTTTTGCCAAAGTGGGTGGTACATATGTAAAAAGTGTCTGGCAATCTGTGTAAGATTGTGCATACATACTCACATACATTGCTGAACATGGTTGAGGATCTCTTTTATCACCATAGAATTGTATTTTAGGATAAAAATATCAAAAAACAGAAAATTGAGATTCTGCGCACTGTAGCACTGCCTTTGGGTCCCAATACATACAGCTGAGTCAGGGCAAAGATAATACTCAATTTCTCAATCTGAAATATCTTACATAGGTTTATCAAAAGCATTTTTTATTGGTATAGAAAAGTACCCTACCAATAGTTTTCTATGCCCACACTACTTTTCTATACCCCTGGGTAAAGATGTCATTTGTTGTAGTGTTAAAAAAATTAGATTTAGATTATATCTTTTCACTTACAACTCTCCTCATTAGAAACTTTCAATTCGAATTCCAATATGTTTACGCAAGTTATGAAGGTTATGGTAATGCAGAAGTGGACAATGTGGAGTTCTGGTTAATTTAGAAGTGACTGAAAGTATCCATCAATCGTTTCCCTTCTTGCCTTGTGTTATATGAACTTCAGGCCTGATCAATTTAATCAATCAAATTGACTTCAAATCAGATTGATTGTTTTTAAATGTTTTAGTTAGTGGAAACCATTTCATATTCCACTTGATTGTCTTGATATTAATAATGGTATCTGTTGGTTCAGTTTGCTTTGACTCAATCAATTTAGTTCTATATCTGATTCTCTGATAAGCTTCATAGCTGTTTGCTCATACTCTTTTCATTTCCTATGTCATGTTCAAAAAGAATCAGGAATAAATATAAATTTTCTCTATCAACATTTGCTTGTCCAAAGCTGGTCAACAGAGTTAGTGAGCTCAAAAAAGAATACCAATGCCATGAGTATATCTTCAGGATGAGAACACAGGGAAATGAATCTTACCTGGCCTTGTATTGAGCTAGCACATCATGCTGTTTCATCAAGTAATACTTGCAATGGTCTGCTTCCATGCCTTTAGGATCCTTTGACATAATCTTTACCTAGGAAATCCGGGCAGGGCCGCTGCCTTATACTTGGTTGCACAAGCCAGTGCTCAATTAGACTTGTTGATGTTGTCTATTTGAGCATTGGAGGATGAATGATCATCATCACAAGTTTTCAGGCCATCTTTGCAGCTTTTGTGCCCATTGGACAAGTTGAATGAGAGGTCATAGAGTATGCATCCTTGCTGTTCTTGTCTTGGTCCAGTTCAATGACCAATGCAGCACTAGAAGGTGGGTTGGAAGACAGTGCATGTTTTTGAGGGTTTTTCTTTGCTGATGCAATCTTTCCTTTGTGGTCTATGGGTAAGTCCTTCCATTTGCCACAGTTTCTAAGAATCACCCAGCAATGATCAAATGCAAATTCATCACCAGTATCTGCCTGATACAGATCTTTGGAAAATTGAAGCTGATCAATCCAAATTGATGAGTTTATGTATAGTTCAGGCTCACAGAGTAATGTAACATACAATATCTCCAGCAACCTGGCCACTTTGAGCTCAACATTTGGCCTGGGCAAAGTTGAGTGCAAACTTGGTGATTGCTGGAGATATTTTTTCACATGAGGGTTTGAGAGAGCTCGCAGTGCATACAGAGTCATGCAATAGTTTCTCCTTGAACTTGATGTAATTTTCGTGGATTAAGTTCCAGTAAGATTCACAATTCTGCTGAATACCAATAACCGGATCCATGCTGATCTCTCCCCAAGAAATGCATGGTTGGTGATCCTCTGGAATGGTTCAGTTTTTTCCTCAGTTACCACAAGATTTGTTCTTGTCAGTTCCATCTATTTGATTTCCATTGTTAGGTCCTTGATTAGTTTCTGTTTTGATGTTGTTGATGGGAGTTTGATTGTTGAGAGGATCTGAATCTGAAGGAATTGACAGAGCTATGAGGGCTGGATCCATGGTGTTGAGTGTTGCATATCTGTCAGCCCTGAGCCCTGTGTACAGGACCACGGACTAACAAACACACATGTAAATATATGTAATACATATGTAAATATATGTAATACATATGTAAATATATGTAATACATATGTAAATATATGAAACTTGTCTAAAACAATAAGAATTACAACTCATGGCTCAGTTTCAAGAGTCAATTAAGTAAAAAGACTTACTATGACTTAACCAGTAATAGTATACCTAACCCAAACCCAACCCAAACCTAACTCAAAGAAAAGCAAACCTAAGTGCCAACCACAAGTTGATGCCTAGGTCTAGCATATATAAACCCCTCTTCTTCCCACTTTGGAAGAAGAACCAACTTATTGTCATACCGCAACTCCTCATCGCATCTTACTTGATTCTTCACCAAGAATACTGAGTATAGTGATATTGTTGTACCCTTGATTATCATAGTTCTATTTTCATTCAGGTTATTGTAAAACCTCAAGTGGTGTTCTGAGCTTGTGGGATTAATAGATAACAGAACAAGCTTGGAATTTGCAAAGGGTTCCTCTTTATAAGAGTCTAAAGTACCCCGCGGCACCTCTGAATCCTCAGAGTCTAAAGTACTGCAGGCTCCAGAGTTGTAAGATCAACCAGAGCTCAGAGTAAGATCCTTAGAGGGATTACTCTGCCATCCCACTGGCAATATGCCCTCTCCTGAGAGGTCAACTAACTGCAGTCTTCACTTGGGTGTACCCGTGAAGACTTCATTCAAGACCTCACACACTTCCTTTTTAGTGAAGAGTCAGCCAGAAAGTAGCTGACCCCTCACACTATCCCAGAATGAGTCTTGAAGGAGAGACACAGAAGATCTTTTCCAGATTGGAGTGGGCTTCACGTGACTATGGGAAAGGGCAAGTAGCCATGTTTTGGGGCTTGCCAATATCCAGTCAAATTTGGCAACAGAAGCTCAAAATTTAGCAATGGCCCTAGAAAAGTTTGGCTATAGGGGCTGCCACTGCAGTATATATCAGGAACCCTATGGCTAAGGCCCCGTGGGCCCTTTTGGTTGCAATTGATTTTGGTGTACTACAGTAAAAGTGTACCACAGGAAATGAGGAAATAATGCAGGAAAGGTTCCAACTCACAATTTAATCGGAGTACAAAAATAAACGGTGGTTTTTAAGAATCATTGTTTGGCAACTCACAACCAAAGTCAAATTACAGCGCTTGTGACAACTAACAATTTTTTATTCAACTCAAAATTTAAAATTCTCATTATTGATTCTTCATCAATCAGGTTCATCAAATCTCTTGTTTACTCAGTCAATTTATCTATCTCGGCTTTCATTAAAACAGGTCATTAGATCATCAAAAGTTTCATGTAATTACATTTTATTTCTACTTTATCATTCTTGAATCGAGCTCGATCCAAAAGATCATCTTTGTCATGACACACAATGTTGTCATGTTTCTCATCAATCTTGTTATCCTCATCTTTCTCATTATTCTCATTAGTCGCATCATTCAAATTTCACTTCCAGAGTGATGATATCAACAGATGATGATTTTGATAACTTGAAATTAACAAACAATGATTTGAAGACACAATGATATTGTTGAAGCAATGATATCAAAAAGTGATGATTTTGATGATTGACCAGGTGGAGTGATTGATGAAGTAATGAGATCAATGAGGCAATGATGCCTATAAAAGGATTTCCTGGATTGTAATCACAAGCATGGGAAGAGGTTGAAATTGGACAAGTCCCCTTCTCAAGTACGGAAATAATTGGAGGTAATCAGAATTAATCGCCAAAAGGAGTTTGTAAGATGACCACATCATTGGGCAATTATTGTCCAAATAATGTGGTACGTTAATCTCTCAATTTGGGCTACCAAACGTCCAAATTTAATTTGCAATTATTTTACTGTGATGCTCCAAATACCACAGTAAAATACTCGCAACCAAACGGGGCCTAAGTTTGGGTTTCAAGTCAAGAAATTGACGGTATTTTACAGTCCAACAAGTTGTCTGATGTTGCAAAATATACTGTAAATTTAAAAAAATTGGGACACCTTTTTAGGTGTGCCAAATTCTGTTGACTGTATATTTGCAGAAAAAAAAAACGTAAAATTTAAAAAACTTGTCCGTTTTTCAAAAAGTTTCACCAAACTTTTTTGACCTGAAACCCCCTGATAACCCCAATTTGGGGGCTGCCACTGTGGATGCCCCAAGTATGTGTTTGGGTGTAATGGCTGTGGATTAAGATACCCCAAAGCTACATACATCACGGTTTATGGCACACAGCTGTGAATGCTCAGAGTCCTCATCCATTGTATGGCACTGGACAAAACCATTGTAATCAACCATCATCTCACCCTCCTAAATACAACCAACATCACACCAAGGTCTCTATTCCTCTATATTGATTCAATGGAATAAAATAAATAGAACTCAACACTAATGAGAGAGTTTATGCTCTTGTCCCACTTTATGTTCCCTTGCTACTTTATTTTTTGTGATTTCATGACTTGAAAACATCAAAACAAACATTGACAAGTGCAATTCCTTATCAACACAGTTTTTAGCCTTGCTCTGTAAAGAGTCTCATCAACTGTGAGAAGAATTTCAACCTCACAAATAACTCTTGCTTCGGTGTGAGGTACAACACTGATATGGAATATCATACTTGAGACACCTTGAGATGATTTTCATTGTATTGGAGCCAACCATGCATACCTCCTTTTCTAGCTACTTATGAGTCCTGGAGCATATTGATTAGGCATATACATGAGCTTGACGACCTAGCGGAGAAAGGATGTGGTGAATAGGCCATGAACAAAGAGAGGAGTGATGAGGTGTGATAATCACAAGTTGAGCCCCCATGATCAATCACTTTCTGAAACAAAGCATGAACAAAGCAAACAAATTACCATCGCTTTTTTGTTCTCAGGTTCGGTCATAAATTCCATGTCCTAGCTTATCTTAATCGCATAAATTCAAAACTTGGAATATAAATCATCCAATTGACCAAATGCTACCTAATGTCAAGAGGATTGATAAAACAGTCTATAGACCTTTGTTGAATTCAACTGTAGTATAAGGTGATCCTGTATGCGGGTTGACCAACCCTTTAAATTCTTGCTCTAGGCGTGAAACTGAGATTGTTGCCCGTTGAGGAAAAGCAGCTATGGCAGGCGGGAGGAAAAGAAAGAGTGAACCACCGACCAAGCCTAGAGACAGGTAAAAGGTAATTAGACCTGGGTGCTTCAATGAAACACAAGGATGTTATAGAGATGTGATAAAGGATAGGTGACCTCACCAAGATTAGTAATCAATTCTAGAGCTTTGCCTCGTGGACCTCCAAACGTCCCACGTTTTTGGAGAGCAGCAATCACAAGTGGCGGAATGATAAGAGTAGGACTGAGAACCGCATATAAGAGTGAGGCTTGCGATCTTATGTCTTCGCCAAAAAGATTTACCCAAGCCATATGATACTCACATGTTAGTCAGAACTCGTGAAGCAGCTGTTTGACTGACAGCATGTAGTCCTGCTGTTTTTGATTTTCCTAATGATTGTGGAGACTCTATATCTGGAGGAAAAACATCGATCCCATCTTGAATCTCTTTCCAACGCATCAAACCCACGTTTACACAACCAGCCGAAGCTACAGCCACAAAAGGCACAAATCGACCAATCATGCTTCCAGTAGCTGCCCTCCTAGCTAATCGACTTAGACCAACAGCAAGTCCAACTGAGGTTGCTGTAGCAGCAACATAAGCTGTCCCCAGCTCACGCGAACTTAGGCTAGTTGACTTGTTCGCATTGGCATAGTTGAGGCATACATTCAAGGTCTGATTTGCCCATTGCCAGCCTATTATCGAAACGAGTGACGGGTTTGGAAGAAGGAGTCCAGTGGCTATGACGAGGTTAGTGGGCACAAAGGCTGAAAGTCGAAAGGGTAATGGAATTGGCTCATGGGTATCCGGATGAAGTGAGGATTCGACGACTGTGAAAATCAGAATTCATTTTAGCTTTAACGTCACGTCTCTTGAAGCTCGCAGGAAACGGTTTGGGCTTCTGACGTTGCTTGGCCTCCCAAATTTGTTCTTGGGTTGTCACCGATTCATCTAGGTCTGACCGATTTCCTGAAGCGTAATCTTTCAATAAATTTTGAGCCCGTCTAAGATCATTTTCAGAACGAAGTAAAGTGAGAGGTGAAGTGATAGTGATAAAATGTCGAAGTCGACCGTCTGTGAATCTCGAAAAGTTCCACGTAAAAAAATCGCACAGCGTTCGCGAATCACATGGGATTTTTGAAGATGGTCAGCAAAGTTGGCGGCGTACATAGCAGGTACGCGTTAGCCAAAGCGCCGGACGAACGCACAATACGTGTTCAAATTAAACCGAGACCTAGCTGATATATGAAGAGGGAACTATGAGTCAGTCTCGGTGGAGCAAATATGAGGAATGCGGTCGACTGAACTAATATCAATAGGTGGTAAAAGCCCTTGTTGCTCATGCTTTGAGGTATCGGCCATGGTTTTCAGGTGACTCGTCTCTTTCCCTCGCTTCTCGTGGCTTCAGGAATCGGGATGGCCGCAACAACAGATTCTTTTTTCAAATTCACGTGATCAGGCACTCAGAGCATCCGCACTCGTGCGGTAAGTCGGGTGCGGGAGCGTACACCACGGGGGGACTTTGAGGCAGAATGCTGCCCTACAATGGTCGAGTCGGGCTCTGGCCCACAACTCGCCCGCAGCTCACCTTCCGGTGGCTAGCTGGGCGCCCTGGGGCGGCCGGTTTGCCTCGACTTCACAAGGTGACTATGTGGTCCAAGGGCGGAGCCCGGGCCCGCCCTTCGTCCGCCGACAGCTCGCCTGCATCAAAGCCGCCCCCTGTGTGTATTTATCAGCACCCATTCTGCTGACTTTCTTGATGAGAGTCCTCTTTAGGAAATTCTTGTTGAGCACACGTTCGTGTTGTCTCCAGACATTGAATAATCAAGCAAGGATGGCTTGCACCCCCTGGGTTCCAGGATTCCGTGCACCGTTTTTATACTTTTAGTTATCTGTTCTGATGTTGACACACATATAGGTGAAATAGATAAAAGAAAACAAAACACAATCATATATAATGATTGGTATCATAAACATATAAAGAGAAATAGTGATAGGGACTTACTCTCTTTTCCTCTTGTAATATAACGGATGAGGAAATGAGAGAAAGGGAAAGAGAGCTTTCAAGAGAGACTAGCTATATGAGTCGGAAGGAATTAGGACATGAAGTGAATATCATTTGATTTTCTAGGTGCATTATGTAAGATTTAATGTGCCAATGATCAATAAGATTTTCTTCCAGGTGTGTTGTTTTAATCTTGACGTGTTTTAAATCAATGTGTTGAAGTAATTGAAAAGAGAACTTTCACAGGTAATTGAAAGACCTTAATTCTTCTGAAACTTAAGTCAAAGAGATAAACTGGGAGTATCTCAACACAAAATCTACGCCTCTCGTTGGAGTGTGAGTCCATACCCACAACAATGCACTGTTACCCAATTACACATAGATATTACTCTTCAAAACCAAGCTGACTCCTCTCATGTCTTTCCAATATAAGATGTAGAGACAAGTGCTTTGATAACTTTGCAATGACTTCTTTGGATATTGTATGTTGGGGTCTATAGATTCTTAACCTTGTACTCATACCATGTTGTGGGGACAAGGACTGTCTATGTTGTCATCTATGAAATGCACTTCCATTGGATGATCACTTGAATTGATATCTCACAAAATAGATTAAACATAAGACCATTGCTTATTTCACAGCAAAACACAAATCAGGTATTGATTACTATCAGATCAAATGAAACTCAGCGCACTCTGAGGGTGTGTTCACTTAAGCAATTTCCCATGAGAAAACACATTGGTAGTTGGAACTTGTTTTAACTTACAGGAATTGAGGCTAGTGAAGTGGCTCTGAAAGACAATCCAAATTTGTGGAAACTTGTCCCCAAAAAATCTTTCAGAGAAGATCTTACTAAACACATGGTTTTTAACACAGGAGTAGCTCACGCAGCTCTTTACCACTTTATCAAAAACCTTTTGATGTTGTAAAAAGATCTTTCTCTTTTCCTTCACTGATTTGTATTTTATTCATCACATCCACTTTGTTATCACGGTTTTGAATATCTGCTATCTCTTTTTATAATACAAATTTGTGTGTAAGATACAACTTTTTTGTACCCACCATCCCTCCCATTTTCTATTAGGGTGCGTTCACTTAAGCAATTTCTGGGCAGAAATTGAATTCTGCAAAATTTAAAGTGCTGGTTTGGTATAGTAAGTTTCATTTTTGCATTTTAAAATTTACAGAGTCAGAATGTCCGTAAGTGAACATGCCCTTAGGGATATGATTGAAGTTGTAGTGACCTCTCCATTGGGCTTTTGGTTGTTGCAGTTTGAGTCAGACCCTCCAGGGCCGTCATGCGTAATTTAGCAGTTGTGAACAAACTCTCAAGTCTCTCAGAAAGACCACCGTGCCAATAAAATTCCTCTGCAAAATACAAAGTGTCCATTTGTTGGTGCATGTTTCATGTTTGCATTGAAAACTTTTGCAGAATGTGATTTCTGGTCAGAAATTTCTTAAGTGGAGGCGCCCTGAGTGAGGATAATGAAATTATCTCCTATTCCTTTTAAAATACAAGACTTCAACATCACATAAAAATTCAGATACAAAAGCCAACTCAAAATCTCTCAGCAAATACAACTGGCCAGCCACAAATGAGAGTATTAGGATTGTTATTAAAAATATATTAAACAACAAGGCACAGCGGACTTGTCACCTATAGACGCAAAACCCAATGTCAGTTCAATCCAAAAATAAATAGAGAAATGATCAGGAGGTTCAAGAAACAAATACCATGATCAAATTTAGTTGGATTCTACAAACCTTGCAGGGTAGGAAAGTACAGGGAGCACCAGGAAGACCGTTGTTTGAAGGACCTTCACCTGAAAGCAATCATCAACTCAGAAAGATTGACATAATTGATCATCAAGAAAGGTAAAAAGGGAATTGTATCAGAAAAGATCACATACCTAGGTCGATTTCAACAACATTGGGTGAAATTGGCCTCAAGGTTCCCGTGACTGGATTGGGGAACACAGGCAACGCCGCCACGATACGATACTTGGTAAAGTATTGAGGATACTAGGTATAGTATCTGTTCCAGGATACCACCTCAGGCAGAATCCAGTACAGTACCGCCCATTCGGATACGATACCGGATACGGTTGTACCGTTTATCAGGGTACTATGGGCGGCAAGGTTGAGTATAGTACCCTCGATACCGGGTACGATACCGATACGTATCGTGGTATTGGAGTAACGCTAGATACTGTACGATACTGGTAAAGTATTGGGTATCTTTGTTAAAATAACCGAGCCACAAACATTCACTCCGCATAACGAGGCAAGAGAAGAGTAATAAGAAGTAAAGAAAAGATGAGGAAACAAATATGGCTCTCAGAGCCGATTTCGTAAACAACTTGTGTTTGACAAGATAAGAAAAAAAACAAAAATTTCAAAAAGAAAAGAACAAAGGAGAAAAGTAAATCAAGCAAAATTACTAATACTATCACCCCCTCCTCTTTCGGTGTGACTTATCCAAGGCACTAGAGTGGGCCATACACAATTGACACTCCTCAAAGTCCAAACCTTGAATCGCAATGCCCTCCTTAGACCAGATGCGAGCCCCAACTGACCGCTCCACCGTTGATGGTTTCAAAGCCCCTCGATCACGGCTGCAGACATCTGCAGCTGCGGAGAACGTCCTCTCCACAGCACATGAAGATCCACAGACTGCCAGATAGTCTTTTGCAAGGGATGATAAAACTGGATACCTTGAAGCATTGACCTGGGCGATAGGAAATCGAAATACCATCGGTACTTAATGTGAGAAGAAATGATGATAAATAATAATCATCAGTATATTGTTACCTTCCACCATTCTAAAGCAAGATGTGGATCCTTCTCTACAGCTTTAGATGGCTCATCAACACGCTTGAAATAGTTGCTGAGCTCATTTTCAGTGCGTGTCTGCACTTTCTTTCTATGTGCCCTAAATCCATCTTCATCTTCATCTTCCTCATTAGACTCACCACTGTGCCCTTCATTATTCTTGCCCGAGTTCAGTTTACTTCGTCTAATTTCAAAAGCTGTTTCTATTAAAGCTTGAGCTGATATGAATTCGTCTGAGTTTTCGCCAAAAGCAAACTGAAAGTAGTCAGCTTGCCAGGAGGGATGTAAAACAGTGGCTAGGACTAGGACATTGGATTGAAGGGCTTCAGCTAGATATGCCTTGACTCTAGCATGCATGGCGTGATACATCGGGAATAGAGGGTCGGCTCGGGATTTGCACGCGTCGATCTTAGCTTGAAGAGACTTCTTCAACTTGACGTATTCCCAAATAACCAGTGAACCAGTCGGAGCATCGGCTTCGAAAACCTTGGTTAAAGATTCAAAATTCTTAAGCGAGGAAAGGATCAGTCAGTGTCAGCGTAAGGAGATGATTCAAATGAAAAAACTCACTCGGAGTATCTTAATAAGTTGACCAACTTGCTTCCATTGGTCTGGCGAAACGTGAGCTTTGTTGAATATGCCACGGGGTTGAGCGGTCTCAGGATCACTTGGTCCTACTTTGGGTCTTCGATTCTTTCATTTGGTCTTTGTGACCTCCTTCTGATCATCTTTGAGCATCCTATCGATAACCTGCAATTTATTATGCAGATCAAAATAATAAATTAGAACATAATGTAGATGAAATTATAAATTTAGGACATAAAAAACTTACTTCTTGAGCATTGAATAGCCTTTCCCAACATTGGAGTTTGATGTTCCATTGAATTCCATAACCTGGAATAGGTCGAGGAAACTTGACACCCATACTATTGCAAGTTGCATCAAAGACAGCCAACATCCTAGAAGATCCTCCAATTTTTCGAGCTATTTCATCCAGCTGAAGAGATAACTGATCAGTGATTAGAAAAGAAACGAATTAGATTGATTAAAACATATGACACTTACCTGAAGTGTCAATAGATAAACAGCATTCGATTCATTGCGATTGGTGGCAGGCTGATCTGGGGGAAGGTCAAACGGACCATCTAAAACATTATACCATTGTTCACCAACCTCTTTTGCAGCTATATCAGTGAGTTCCACCTCATCATCCGATTCCGCATCAATTACATCATTTTGTTTTTCATTTTCATTTTCAGGTACAGGTTCTTCATCCTCTTCTAAAATCTAAGGGATAGCGTGTTTGTCCAAAGGGAAGTCACCAAGGATGGTTGACTTGACAAGAGGAGGCGGCGGGGCTTTGATTCCTAACGCTTGAAGTCCTCCGTTCACAATTAAGGTGATTTTATGCCCTGCGCATCTTACTCAATCACATCTCTCGTCAAAATCAAAGCGTTCGTAGTTGTCTTCGGCAATTTTTGAAAGTCGCGCTTGCATAACACGAGCGCAGGTATCATTATTACTGCCAGAATCGTGAGTCTGGGAAATCATGTGTGATTGGAAATTGTGTATATGT